CCTCGGCCTCCCAAAGTGCTGGGATTACAGGCTTGAGCCGCCGCGCCCGGCCCCAGATTAAATAATTTTATAGAACTAATCACAAAACTAGGCAAGGCACTATACTTACTTTTACCAGTTTATTATTTAAAAACACAACTCAAGAACAGCCAAATGGAAGAGATGTACAGAGCCAGAAACAGTGGTAGGGTAAGATGAGGTGGGCAGGTAATTCTGGAAATAACTGTGATTAAAGAAATTCCCCATTTTTTGTGTATTCTCCAGGAACAGCTTAATGAAGGGAAATATCCTTCCCATTATGACTTAGAGGATGCTCCCTTTTGTACCTACCACAAAGATGGACACGGATTGCAAATTCCCATTGTTTATATAAACAATCACCTCGGTAGCTTAACCTTCAGTGGTCAAAGCAAAATACTTGTTAACCAAACTTCGCTTACGTTTCTTTCCCACAGGCCCCTGAACTTTGAGCCACCCAAAGCCTAAGTCAACATAGGACCCCTATTTATGGCCCTCCTAAAAACAGAATGACTTCAGGGTGAAACGTTCTCTGATTTGTGATCTGATTTTGCTACTCTCCATCCTGTACCTCCCTTGCCACCTTCTTTGGAATCTTGTTTGCTCCTCCCTATGAAATAATCCCCTTTCGCCTAACCTTTGAGATCCTCAAAGATCTCATAGTTGGTACTTTTTCTCTGCTGCGATACTCCTTAAGTAACTTCCTATGTAAATCCAAATTAGTTTTATTTGACAAAGCCTAGAAGCAGTCCCAGAACAATAATTCCATCCTAGTAAGGGCCTCTCAACTATGCTTCTGTCTCAGCCCTAACTGCATCTGCCTGTGGACTTCCAGCTTACCAGGTTTATATATCTTGTGTCAGCACAAAAGGCTCCTTCCATGGTTGGTGTGAGCAGGCTGGGACCTGCAGGGCAAACGTCCCTGCGGGTCCAATATTGAGGGCCAAGGAGGAACCAAATGGACCTTCAATGACCTCCTTTTGCAGGCTTAAGACTGGGCTTAGCTTGCAGTCACTAGGCTAAGACTTCTACTTTCCAGCCAGGCTCATTCACTTAGTTTTAAATTTAAAAAATACTTAAGTGTTTGAAAAATCTAGCAAGAATCACTCAAACCTAGGGTTATAAAAAAGAAAGGAAAACTGTAAGGCGCTTACATTTTATACTCCAAGAAGAAAAGCCAAAGTATCTATCCCTTTCAGAAAATGACCATGTAATTTATTTCCATGATAACAAATCATTTAGTAAACAATTAACCCTATGTGAATACTTCAAGGAGGTGCCAAGTCTCACCTCCTAAAACATAGCCTTAATCTCAAACATCCAGATAAGGGCATGGAGAATAGAGATATTCACTGTCATAAATTCTCTACTCTGCAAAAAAGAACAACTGATGTTGTGATGAATCTGTGTAATTTGACAATTAATATAACACGCTTTGTTGTGGAAATGTACTCATTTCCTACTGCCATAACGGAAAAAAAAGATTATCCCTATCCTTTTACTGATAACATTCCCAAAGCCCTGAGATTCTGTTTGCAATCACCCACCAAACAAACAAAATATAGGCCTGAGAAACTTACTATCCTCACTCTAGTGAAGAAATAAGTAAATAACAATTTTTAACAAATGGAATATATGACTACTTAATTTTTTTCCTGAAATTCACCACCTTAATGCCCTTTATATGTTCTTACCTTTCAAGATCTACTGATAAAATACAATTTACACTTAATTAAAAACTGAAGTTAAGTAAGTACAGAAATCCTTCCAAGGTGACAAACTCAGGAAACGGCAATGCTGACTGGAACAGACATATCTGTCTTAAATGTCAAGTCAAGCCATTCTATCACTTAGGACATTTTCCCACCCACATCCTGCTCACTGAAGTGGACAATAACCATTCTACCAAGAGCCACTGTGCTGTGCCCCACTGTGTCCCTTAGACACATTTTGCTTTGCAGGTTTTTGCAAATCCTTACTGGGTTGGGCGTTCCTTGTCCTTGGGGATGTTTTTTCTCTCTTCATCAGTCTGCGAAAATTTTTTCCTCCACACCAGCATCCAATTGCCTGGCCAGCACTGTATCTCTAAGGAATGGAAATTGGGATTGGGGAAGAAAATCTTTATGTCCTAAGGGATTTGCTTTTGGAGGAAAGGTATGTCTGATTTCTCCCAGGCACAGTGTACCAACTACTCCAGACAGGCTACATTCTCACACCTCAGGATGCCCCTGAGAGGGGATGACCCAGGCGCTGATATTCACCAGACACTTCAGGAGACAGAGCCACTGTGCGCATCTTGGGTCATCCCCAGACAGTTCTGAAACTCAAAACCAGGAAAATAACACAGGGTGGCTGAGGATGCATCATTGCCCTGTGAAGTTTCCAAAGTGGAACCTCAACCCAAAAATATTCTGATGAGGTATCTGCACCTAGGAAAGATTAAAGGGAGATCAGCACAAAGGTTTTGGTTTTTGGTTTTTGGTTTTTTGTTTCTTTTTTTGAGACGAAATCTCACTCTGTTATCCAGGCTGGAGTGCAGCTGCGTGATCTCGGCTCACCCGTCTCCCGGGTTCAATCAATTCTCCTGCCTCAGCCTCCCAAGTAGCTGGGATTATAGGCGCACGCTACCATGCCCTACTGATTTTTATATTTTTAGTAGAGATGGGGTTTCACCATATTGGTCAAGCTGGTCTCAAACTCCTGACTTAAGGTGATCCACCCACCTTGGCCTTCCAAAGTGCTGGGATTACAGGCATGAGCCACTGCACCTGGTCTTTTTTTTTTTTTTTTTTCCAGTGGAGTGTTGGGATTACTCTCCCCTTTCACCTCCTATAAAATATTTGCAAATGAAAAATAATTCTTTTTAAAGAAATGCCATCCAATGCTCTTTGAAATAATTATTAATCAAAATACTGTGTCTGAAATGTACAAAAAAGGACTAATAGCTGATAATGTTGTGAATTAGAAGTTGGTATTGAAGAATGTCATGGAAAGAACTGAAAATTTAAAAATTGACTGAAAGCCAGAGTTAGGCCGGGGCAACAGTGGTAGATCTGAGACTCTGTCACACATTTGGAAAATGCAGGAGAAAACTATTTCTCCTGTGGACTGTTAATTAAATAGCAGGCAATTAGAATGAGGCGGGTCTAGTGTCCTGAGTTCCTATATTAAATAAATAAAGGCAAATACATTTCTTGTAAATTGCCATCTTAGGAGGAAACAAAATTCAGATTTAAGCAACCACAAACCTTCAGTTAACTTCTGATTACATAACCAGGCAATGACAACCTGAATAGTCTAAATAAGATGACTACATAACTGGAATGAGTCAGTTACTGAGTTCAGTTTGCTTCCTCATGCACCTTATAAAATCTTTCTTTCAAGCCCTTCGACTGGACCCCCAAACCACAAACCGTGGCTGGGTGCTCTCCGATCACGAATCACTGTTAACTTTAATAAAGTTTTTAACATTTTAAAGTGAATCCATTTGTTTTAGACTGAGGACCCCCGGGATCACAGCTCCTCCCACGCACAAACCACACACGGAGTCTGGACTCTGCCCCGAGGACTCTGCCATTGTTCCCGCAATCCGGACAGACGCAGAACGCGAGAGGCGCTTCCCAGGGTGGGCTGCAGGCGGGATGCGGGAGAACCGAACGGGATGCCAGCCCAGGGTGCCGGCTGCTGGCCCACCTTGCACCGCGTGACCGGAGGGGACCGAGGGCCGAGCTGCGCCTACGGGGACTCAAGTCCGCAGACACCGGAGCTGACAGCGGGGAGGCCAGGGTCCCGGCACAGCCGGTTCAGGCCGGTTTCAACCAGCCCTGCCCCCACCTCGGGACACGGCCTGGCACACTCACCATTCTTCGGCTTCCGGGATGTCCTGGAGTCTTAGCTCTGCATCTCACAGCATCTGCCGGTCACAGGGCGACAGAGGCTGCGACAGTGTCACCGGAACCTCCTAGAGCAGAGGGTACTAAGCAACGAAGATGGACCCTGAGCTCCGGCCGGACCGAGACAAAGGCCCCGCCAGCTCCAGGATACCGCCCCCTCCTCGCTGGATGCGCACCTCATTGGACAGTTCCCACTCTAGAGCCCATGATTGGATACAGTTCTATGCCCCACCCCCTTCGGTCATGAGTGACAGGAGACTTGATCTGACACTGGGTTGAATAAGGCCAAGAATTACAGGTTTTTCCTGAACTCTTTTTTCTGGCGCGCTTCCTCCCTACATTGGAAACTGGCCTTGCCTGGGGAACATTTGCATTTAACTTTGTATATAAGGTTATCTTTATGTGTGGATATACAAATGGTATTCACGAATGGAAACAATACGACAATTATTTTAAAATTTCAGATTTCATCATTTTCCTAGCCTCCGGTCTTTTGAACAGGCAGCCTGAGACGTCACAAGGGAGGCAGGTCACTAAGAAATAAAATGCGAGGCACATATGAATCTTAAATTTTCTAGTAGCCACATTTTTAAAAAGAAACCAGGCGTGATAGCCTGTGCCTGTAGTTCTACCTACTACGGAGGCTGAAGTGGAGCATTACTTGAGACCAGGAGTTTAAGACCAGCCCTGGCAATATAGCAAGACCCATCTCTACAAAAAAAATAATTTAAAATTTAGCCAAGCCTGGTGGCGCATGCCTGTAGTCCCTGCTACTTAGAAGGCTGAGGCGGGAGGATCGCTTGAGCCTGGGAAGTCAAGACTGCAGAGAACCATGATCACACCATTACACTACAGCCCGGGTGACAGAGTGAAACCCTGTTTCAAAATAAAAGATCTCTGAAGAAGGCATTTTCTTTTTCTGCAATTTAGCCAAACAGTTAAATATGTCTTAAAGTCATCTTCTAATTTTTAACAGGGCAAGGATGTTTTCTAAAATCCCAATCTCCAGAGTTGCTATGGGGCAAATCCCTCCAGCATACATGAAAATCACCCACAGCTAATGCATTCCTCATCAGTTCCAGCGCTTCTTACTTCCCCCTGGCACATAAGAATCACCTGCGGGGCCGGGTTTGCGCCTGTAATCCCAGCACTTTGGGAGGCCGAGGCAGGCGGATCACCTGAGGTCAGGAGTTCAAGACCAGCTTGGCCAACCTGGTGAAACCCCCATCTCTACTAAAAATACAAAAATTAGCCAGGTATGGTGGTGCACGCGTGTAATCCCAGGTACTCAAGAGGCTGAGGCAGAAGAATGGCTTGAACCTGGAGGCAGAGGTTGCTGTGAGCTGAGATTGCACCATTGCACTCCGGCCTCCAGTCGGGCATGGGCTTCGCCATTTTCGCTTCAGCTCGCACTGCGTCTCTTTGTTCAGGAAACAGTAGAGGACAGTCACCACCAGGCCCCGGAACGACCTAAGGAACGGTTCAGACAGAATCTGGAATTTGGAGGAGATGTTGATGGGTAACACAGCAAACACCATGTAGTGGATGCCAAACAGTGGGATGAGCAGGAGCTTGGACCAGTACAGCCTCTTGTACTGTGACTGGTCATTGCCGCTGACATCTGGGGACATTAACTTCTGCAGCAAAATTCTTATGATACTGATGAAAAGGACAAAATTGACAATGATGGAGATTAAAATCGTTATTCGTATGACCCACCAGGGCACACTGTGGTCGTTTGTATCCCAGCAACCGGGATAGCAACCAGGAAAGCTTCTGCTTCCATGGACATCGTGGAAATGGATGCAGCTGTCAGTACCCAAAGCTCCCCAGCCCCCGGGAATCAGATCGCCACCATTTGAAGCCACATATCACTCTGCCAGACCCCCACCCAGGACTGGCCCTAAGAGGATCCGAGCCCACCTACCTGCGCTCTGTGTCTGTGGGCTGGGGCTGGGCCAGGGCCTGCTGGAGCTCAGAGCCTGGCCTGGAGGGGCTGGCCAGCAAGGATGAGGAGGTTGGTGGCAGCTCCTGGAAGTCCCTGCTTTCATCATCTGCTGACAGGGATCACAGCCGCTCCCAGGAGTCTCTGCCTCAGTTCCACCTTGTACAAGAGCTCATGGCGTCACTTCAGAGCCTGGACATTGAGAACAGTCAGAATGTGGCATGTGGCATCTGCATGGACAAAGTGTGGGACAAGCCAGAGGCCCAGCAGGTCTTGGGCATCCTGCCCAACTGTAGCCACGCTCACTACCTGGGCTGCCTGCGCACCTGTCGGAAGAACCTGCAGGACTTCCCGCTGGATGTCATCGAGGTCTGTCCCCTGTGCTGTGTCCATTCCAGCTACATCATCCCCCACAAGTTCCGGGTGAGCAGGGGGGCTCAGAAGGAGCAACTCATCAGGAACGTTAAGGCTTGGACTAGGTGCCGGGCCCAGCATTGTTCCTGAGGGGTGCTGAGCCAGAGTACAATGCATTCTTCACAAACAGTGCCCTGGCCGTGACCTTCTGGGGTTCAGAACTCCCACAGGACCCCAACAGTTCTTGCCATGACCTTCTGCAACCAGGATCAATGTGAGGGAGATTGGGGTGAGGGGAAGGCATACATACACATATATGCACAAACACATATGCATACACATGCATACACATACATGTATACAAACACATATGTGTGAACACGCACATATATAAACATATGCACATATACACATACACATGTATACATACACATACACATGTATATACACGTATATACACATACATGTATACATACCCATATATACATATATGTATATATAAACACACACATGTGAATATATGATCTGTTTAATTCTGCATCTTGAAATCTAGGAAGAATTTTAGATTCTTCTGGGTGGGAACTGGGCCAGAAATCAGACAGGGGTGAGTTCCCTATCTTCCTGTCCCGTCCTTGTGCCCCATGGCTTTGCTATTCTGCTCTTCTGCACTGTAACAGGACCCTGTAAAACTCTCTTCTTATTGTTTATATGTCCTCAGTGCAATCACAACCTGAAACATCCCTTATCGAAGCTATAATGCGTGTCAGGGAAGAAAAAAATCTCTTCAGCCAATAGGAGTAGGCCACGCCCAACTGAGGGGCTTATAAAAGACAGTATCTTTTTTGCATTTTTAGTAGTGACGAGGTTTTTTTTCTTTCCTAGGACCATCACAGGTTGTGTCATTTACAGAGACTGGGGAGTCACCTAAACTCCTCTTTACTATAGCCCAATCCAAATGAGGAGAAATTCCAAAGAAAACAAACTCAAAGCCAGAAACAGCACTGCTAGGTTAGGCAAGAATTTGACTCTTCCAAGAAACAGAGGATGGGCCAGGCGTGGAGGCTCATGCCTATAACCCCAGCACTTTGGGAGGCCAAGGCGGGTGGATCACCTGAGGTCGGGTGTTCGAGACTAGCCTGGCCAATATGGAGAAACCCCATCTCTACTAAAAATGCAAAATTACCTGGGTGAGGTGGCGCATGCCTGTAATCCTAGCTACTCGGGAGGCTAAGACAGGAGAACTGCTTGAACCTTGAACCCGAGAGGTGGATGCTGGGAACCAGCCCAGCCCCAAACACGGGTGCCCTTAGTCCCGGCAGTGACGAGGGATTGAGAAAAGGAAATAAAACAGAGACACAAGAGTAGAATTCACAGCATGGGTCCAGGGGACCAGCGCAAGCAAGGGAACCGCCTTGGCCCTGAGCTCTGGGCTCCAAACACTTTTACTATGCATAACCTCATTGATCTTATGGGCACGGAAGGGGAGGGTAAAGGAGTGGGTAAGATAGCCCATCAGAGGCCGGGCGCAGTGGCTCACGCCTGTAATCCGAGCACTTCGGAGGCCAAGGCGGGCGGATCACCTGAGGTCGGGAGTTGAAGACCAGCCTGACCAACATGGTGAAACCTCATCTTTTTTTTTTTTTTTAAAAAAAAAAAAAAGATAGCCCATCAGAGAGCACTTGAGATCCTTCTAAGACATGCTAAACTAGCACTCTGAGTTCATCACCAATAGTTATCAGGGTGCAGCTGCATCAGAAGTACATCGGATTAGGAGACATCCGGTCTGACCACTCCCAATGCATCAAGGGGCTTTTATCTCCCGTGCACTGAGTACATAGAGAAATTAAAATCACTCCATATTTTGAGAACCTAGGCAGAGCCTGAGGAGTTCCATGGTGTCTGCCCTGCAAGGCTTTTCTCCTCCTTGCCAGCTCCCATCTGCAAAGACCCTCCCAGATCTTGTGAGCAGAGGTTTCCTCCCATCTGAGAGATCTTTGTATAAGCCCTCTTTACGAGGCTCTCAGGCAGACTCCATGTTGAGAAGGCATTCGTGGGACCAGAGCAGCATCCCTGCTCTGCAACCACCAGAGGCGTTCCCTGGTGTGATTGCGCTCTCCGACAGTCTTTACCTTAGGCCTCCTGTTGCCACTTAATTTCTAATTAACTGCAACAATAATATAGTTTAGTTTGGTGTAGAAACTTCAGTGTACTCTGAGCCAAGCAAGCTTATAATTACTTAGCTAGAATTAACATAGGTCTAATTCTATGTTAGACCTGGCCATCTTGACCCACAATGGACGTTGTGGTGAACTGAGAT